AAAAAAAAAAAAAAAAAAAAAAAATTCGAATGAACACTGGTCTCAAGTAGCCTTGGCTGAGATTCCAGCTAGTAGCTGTGTTATCCCTAGGGAGCCCTAGTTTCCTCATCTGTAAAAATAGCGCCACTGAATCAAATAATTGAATGGATTATGTGTGCCACACACTGGAATAGAGGCGTCTGTCTCTCTCCATTCATTCTGAATGAAAATCACAAAAAGGGGGATGGAATCCTATATTCGTTCTATTAAGAGGTGGCATATTCCTTGGTAAATAAACATGGACCTCCCCTGAAAAAATTAGAAAGCAGTCACATAGTATTTTCTTTTCTGGGGTTTATCATACCGAAGCACCCGTCCAAATATAAGGTGCTTATTGTAGCATTATTTGAAGACCAAACTTAACTAAACTGCAGTGCAGCAAGCCTCTGTGTGCTGACTTGGACATCTTCCCATAATATTTACTTTCTGGAACTAAAAAAGATGAATGACATAGCTATATTTGAGATTTTAAACCTGCATATTACGATCTACTAGTAGATCTTAGTTTTATCTGGAAGTTTGCACATACATTGCAGGTGCCAATGCCCATCTCAGCCACTTGGTTGCCCTTTTCAACCAGCTTGGTTGATCCGATGCCAGTGCCCAGCTCCTGATGCAGGCATCACCAGCGACCCTGATGTGGCCGATGCTGTGCACAGGGACGTCTACACGGGTGGGAGGATGAGGTCCAGGGAAATTGTTCTTTCCTGATAAAAGGGAACTGATGTGGTCGGAGCTGCTCTTGCTCCCTTCTTTGCATCTTCAACATGGGCTAGACATTCAGAACTGCAGTGACATTTTGTGCCCACAGGATGCCAAGCAAGGGGCACAATCCGACAGACCAAGGATGGCAGAGACGAGGCAGAGAGGGGTCCCGGTGGAACCATGAACGGCTGAACGCACGCCTATGGTCTATGAGGAAATAACCCCTCACATATAAATTGCTCTGGGTGTTTTATGACTTGCAGCTGAACACATTGTAATCGACATAACTGTCAGGGGAAAAAACCTTCAGAGAAACGTGCATGTTCTACTGTTGTGTGAAATGAGATTCTG